TTCTCAAGAGTCATGAGCAACATATACGATAAGAACAAGGAGCGCAACATACACAAACATCCAATGGTATCAATGGTGACGTGCATCCATTGACTACCAATATGCATGTACCTGCCTCAACCAGAGTGCAAGGTGCAGCTGTAGCAGCTCCAACCCAACTTGCCTCTAACGCTCCTGTCCAACCATTGCCAACAATCCGCCTCAGCCCCTCCAAGGTAGAATTCAACTAAGAGCATTGAAATTCTAGAAAACATGTCATGAGGTGGGTGACCAAGTGACCATAAAACTCTATTTGGGATTTATCATGGAGACCGTGCTTTGGAACCCTGAGTTAAACCTAAGCGACTATTTTGGCTGATCATAATGATTAGCCAACTTTGCTAACCCATAGAAATTTCAGCAGAAGTTGAAACATAGCAAATGATGACACTTTAAGCATCTACAGAAAATACTCTAAAACTTTCATGTTGGATCCAGATTTTAAATCTAAATTGTATAATTTATTATGTTGGTGCTCAAGTGACAATTTATTATGTTCATAACCAAGGTCTCCAACCTTGAATGCATATGCAACAATATGCATTTACCATGGAGTCATGCTTTGAAACCCCGAGTTATGCCTCAAGCGACTATTTTGGTTGATCATAATGATTAGCCAACTTTGGTAACCCATCCAAATTTCAGCACGGGTTAAAACATAGTAAATGATGGCACTTTAAGCATCTATGGAAAATACTCTAGAACTTTCATGTTGGGTCCAGATTTTAAATCTAAATTGCACAATTGATTATGTTGGTGCTCAAGTGACAATTTAATAACTTAAACATAATCAAAGAAATCCTCTGGAGGACGACATTTTCAAACAGTAACTTGAGTTAGGCAAAGAAATACCTACTATAAAGCTAGTGAAAACCTCCTCCACCTCTTCTTCATCATAGCCCTCCTTCCTCTCTTCCTCCTCTCGGGCAGTTGAAGGGAAGGGCATACAAAGAATCCAATAGGAGTATACTTGTCACTTTGTCAGCATGGCCTGCCAAAGGGGAAGGGCATGGGGTAGACTCTGGAGTGAGCTGGTGCAGGACAAGCTGCAACGCCAGGGCGGCACGGAAGTCACGAGCGGCGCTGCTGCAGGAGAAGCTGCATTGCCTGCCAGAAGTAGCCCGGAGGAAAAGTCCAAGCTGGATGCAGCTGAGAAGCACCCACTTGATGATACTGTCCTGCGACTGGTTGGTGAGCTAGAACCGCCGTAGGAGGATGAGGGGCTGAAGATGCCAGATGCAGCTGAGAAGCACCCACTTGATGATACTGTCCTGCGGCTGATTGGTGAGCTAGAACTGCCGTAGGAGGACGAGGGGCTGAAGATGCAGGTTGCAGCTGAGAAGCACCCACTTGATTATACTGTCCTGTGACTGATCGGTGAGCTGCTAGAACTGCCGTAGGAGGATGAGGGGCTGAAGATGCCCGTTGCGTCATCACATCTGGTTTACCCAATGACACAGCTGTTGACATGGTGTAGACTCCAGAGTGAGCTGGGGCAGAAAATTTTCCATCACCCGTATGTGGCGGCACAGGAGCCGGAGGTGGACTCAGCACAGCAGGAGGCGCCTGCAAGAAGCACCATGGTGGTGGTGTCCAAGCTGGAAACGGCCGAGAAGCACCCACTTGATGATACTGTCCTGGTCCTGCCATTGGCCGGTGAGCTAGAACCGCCGTAGGAGGATGAGGGGCTGAAGATGTCTGCTGCGTCACCACGTCTGGTTTATCCATTGACACAGCTGTCGGCATGGCATAGACTCCAGAGTGAGCTGGGGCAGAAAAATCGCTAACACCAGTATGTGGCGGTACAGGAGCCGCAGAAGCCGGAGGTGGGGTTGACACGGCAGGAGTCTCCTGCAAGAAGCACTCCCGTGGTGGTGTCGAAGTTGGGCCAGAAGGAGTTTCAGCAGTTGTCTGTGGTGACGCAGCCGCGACGGGGGAAGCTGGAGGTGGAGAAGGCACATGAGGGGCTGCCTGCCGGGAGACAGACCCCGGTGAGGGCGTGACTAAGTCTTGTGCATGTGCCGGCTGCCACTTGACGATGCTGTTAGGATTCACTTTGCACACTCGGTCCTTGTGGCCCTGTCGGCCACAACCGTGGCAGTCACCACTAAAGGTGCACTCTGCAGCACGGTGCCCATCACCACACTTATAGCAGATCAAGCCCTGCCCCTTGACTGCTTTTAGTTGCCCTTGTGTTGGTTTCTTGACAGCAGTTTGCTTAGTGCTGGTATTTGCCAGCCCACTCATCTTCTTCAGCTGCTTTTTGCTTGCTGGTTTGGACACATTGTCTGTCTCCATTTCTCGAGGTCGCTTAACTTCACATTTCTTATCTGCCATGCCGTTAGAACCGCTTTGACGATCACACAAAATATTCTGCACTTCAGGGTTGGCATCTTGAGTCACATCCAAAGAACGAGAAACTATGTTCCTTGATGTAGCCAAATCATCCTTATTGCCACAAGATGTGCTGCTTATGTATGGTGACTGTTCTAATGGTGGTTCTCCAGCCACAAGGCTTTTCCAGAGCCAAACACTCTTTGCTGCAGCAGTAAGTGTTTGAGACAAGTTTGGAGGTTGTGCCAATAAAATATTGTATCGCCTCATTTTAAGCTTATGAATGGCATGAGAGAAGTCCCGGTCACCAGAGATAAGCAGATAATTTGCTGGTGGAGGATTGTCAATAGCCCAGAACAGCATGTCAACCAAGATCTTCTTATCACTTGCATCTTTAATGCCTGCATTCGGTAGGAAATAATAGTAAATGAAAAGATGTGCTTAAATATACAGTATGCTAGACATGTAACTCAAAAAGTAATGCAATCAGTGCATAGCTGCCATGTTCATTCGCCAGCTCCGTAAAGAATATTTGGGATAGAAACCTATAGTGGTACTTCAAGGTCATTCTTCTGATCGGAAGACATTTTATACAAGTATGGATCTGACAAATGGGAATGATAATCTCGCAAGAGTATAATGTAGTACACGCTCACTTATTTGGATCACTGGATAAATCATAAGGAAAGTACAAAGACAAACAATATTAAGAATCATAGAGAAACCACATGTTCAAGAGATATACGGGATAGAGTTGGGGTAGCACCAATTGAAGAGAAGCTTGTCCAACATCGTTTGAGATGGTTTGGGCATATTAAACGCAGGCCTCCAGAAGCTCCAGTGCATAGCGGACAGCTAAAGAGTGCTGATAATGTTTAGAGAGGTCGGGGTAGAACAAAGATGACATGGGAAGAGTCCATAAAGAGATATCTGAAGCTATGTTTTTAAGGCGACGCCTTACCGCCTTAGGGAGGCGGGCACTTTGGACGCCTAGGCACCCAAAGCGGTCGATTTTCCAAAGCGGAGGGGGAGCGCTTCGACGCCTAGGCGTCGCCTTAGGGACGCTTTAAAAACATAGATCTGAAGGACTGGAATATCACCAAAGAACTATCCATGAACAGGGGTGCGTAGAAGTTAGCTATCCACGTACCAGAACCATGAGTTGGTTTCGAGATCGTGTGGGTTTCAACTCTAGCCTACCCCAACTTGTTTGGGACTAAAGCTTTTGTTGTTGTTGTATAGAGAAACCACAATATCACATATACTTTTCAAGCAGCGCATCTCACTTATTGGGCTGTTATGTGCACGGATATAAGATTAGCTAATATTCAAACAAATTCTGTATATATATTTAAATAAGGAGGGTTATTAAGATAGGAAGAGATGAGACTAGAGATAGAGATCGAATCCATATGCCTATCCATTGGGTTATTACATGGGGGTCAGGTAAGTCCTCCCATACAAGATACAAGGGACAACATATGTATGTATCTCAACCAAGCAATAAGAACAGTTTATCAACCTATTTTCTCTCTGATTCGTGCATGAGTGATTGTTTGGGGGTCACATAGGTCTCCATGCCAGCCTCAGTTCCTTTCCTCGACAATTTTCTTAACCCCCTAGCAGCTTCTGCTATGAAGTTCCAGTCATAGATGCCGAGGGAAAGGTCTGTATGTTTCCCAATGCTAAGGTGATGAATGAGGGCTTGGGCTAAAGCTATGATGATGCCGGCTGGGAGGCTAGCTCTGGACAGGCAGGAATCACTGAATCAGGATCATCATTCGATATCATTAGGGGAAGGTTCTCCTTGCTTCTTGGAAATTCATGCCTATTTGTGCTAGCACAGAAGGAAGCAGGAATATTTTTGTGCCTCTAAGGTCTCCGTGCTTTGGTGTTGGTGACCAAGTGCCCAGGGGTGCTTGAGTCAGACTGTGGCCGTGCCGTGAAATGGGTTTACATCTCTGCAGTGGACCGTTCATCGAGCTGGTGTCATATGAAACTCTTCAAGAGCTGAATGCGGGTCATCTCCCATCAGTGGCGGAGCTACATTGAAGACTGCAGGGGCCATGGCCCCCCAGCCATGGTCAAATGCGTGAAAGAAATTTTGGGGGGGAAGAGGAAGATTAGGAAAAATTGTCTTTTGGCCTGCTAAACATCCATATT